CCCGGAAGATTGGAGACTCTTCATTAATTCATCCAAAAGTAGCTTAAAAGCCGTTCTATTCCACATTAAAATTCAAAAAAAACCCGTGCCACTAGCACTCACTACAGATACAAAGGAAAACTATTTGTCATTGAACAAGATTCTCGATTTATTGAAGTATATTCTAGGCTTAAGAAAGGAAAAAATTCCCCCAATCATATTGGTCTTAATATTTTTAACAAATTACCAATAGACATCAAAAATGTTAATTTGCTCTTTAGTTTTAAAAAACAGCTAAAGAAATTTCTATTGGATAAGTGTTTTTATACATTAAGTGAATATTTTGCTGTCTAACTTGTTCAAGCTTTTAATGTGTTTTTAATTATTAGATTGTATTGTTTATTGTGTGCTCATTGTATTAATTTATTTTGTCATATTTTGTATACTTACTATAATTATGTTTTTGACGTTTTCTATACATGTATCTATGTGTCCTCAGAAATAAAGGTATTATTATTATAATGAAAACAAATGGAAGATTTGCGCAGATTCAAAGGTTGTTTCTATTCTCTCTGGTCTGCAATTGGGCTACACGAAAAACATGTGTTTTATGTGCTTATGGGACACGCGCTACCGTGGTGACCAGTATAAAAACGCGATTGGATTACACGCGAAGAAGTAAGATTGCGCAGACATAACGTTGTTGAGGTGCCACTTGTACAGGCCGAGAGAATTTTGTTGCCGCCATTGCACATCAAATTGGGTATCGTGAAATTTAAAAAAAAATGGATCGTGAGGGCAATACATTCAAAGAATTACGGCGTATTTTTCCACGTTTGAGCAGAATGAAAATAAAAGAAGGGGTTTACATATAATACCAATTTAATTGTAATAAATTTCTATCATGATTTTTTATGTATTACAGGGATTCTAAACGGTCCAGATATCCGCCGATTAATGCGAGAAGAACAATTTGAAGCTGCGCTAAGTCATGTCGAGCTTGTAGCGTAGGACACTATAAAAGCCGTGATTAAAAACGTTCTTGGTGTTCATCGGGCGGAAAATTGGCAAGTTCATGTCCAAAACATGCTCGACGCATTTCACAATATGAATGTGAATATGTCTTTGAAGATTCACTTCCTTCATTGCCATATTGACAAATTTGCGGAACAGTCACCGGCTGAATCGGACGAGCACGGCGAGATGTTTCATGAAATAACAGCCAGATTGGAACATGTGGGAAGAAACTCGATGCACTTTTGGGAGATATTTGCTGGAATTTGCAAGAAGAACAGGATGATTAAAAAAAATCTCAATAAAGAAATTTTGTTCAACATTAAATTTGGTTTTTATGTTTTGTGTCAAAAAAAAACCTTTTTGTAAGATAAATTCAGTAAAAGTTAAAAAAATGCCAATTTTGGTCCATTTTTACAATTTTTTACGGAAACTGCCTTAAATCGTAATTGTTTGGCAAAAATATTGTCATATTCGGTTTTATCATACCCAAAAACACATTTTGATTGAAATCAAAACATCTAAAAAGTGACCTCAAAAATAATCCATTTTGAAAACGGCCGATCGAAAAAAATTTCGCTAACTTCGAAAAACGGCAATCACCACTGGATTCAGCGTGCCCGAATTGACTTTATCACATATGTCTCCCCTCTGTTGAAAAAAAAACTTGTCTTTTTCGTGCACAGTGTAATTATTGTAACTGTAAATTAAAATAACTTTATTGGAAAATTAAAGATGTCATATGTATAAGCATATATTATATAATACGAGGCAACACTGTAATTAATAAACCCCCACTACAAAATATCCTACCGACTGCGCCATAAAGTAAATAATACCAGAGTAGGTTGAAGACTGATTAATTAAAATGACTAGCATGTAGGTGTATGTATCTTGACTAGCATTGGTGGTAGGTACATTTGTAGTGGAGCTTTATTAATTACAGTGTTGCCTAGTATTATGTATAGGTACATATGACACCTGCAACACAAGTAAGTGTTAAAAGGCCGTTTTTCGGTCACAAATTTTTACTTCCCTAGATGAACAATTGACGCGTTTCTCGGAAAAACATCATTAGTCCAAAATTAACATATTTGGGAAAATGAAAAAAACTCTCCGACATTCCCATTTTTGACCAAAGTACTTTATTGACCTATTTAATACATGAAAAAAAAATGTAAGATAATTCGTCCAGAATTCCTCATGTTTGTTTTTTCAAACGAATATGAAAAAAAACACAAAAAATACATGAACCTGTGAGGTTTTTAGAAGAAAAAAACGAACAATTCTCCTTACTACAAACACTACAAACAAAATATTAACTCTGAGTAACAAAATAAAATGAAACAACTAAAAACTGTATTACTGCCACACTCAGTCTTCGCATCCACTGCTGTTATCATCGTTGTCGACCGTGTTATCAGGACTGTCAGGTGCTTTGGTCTTCTGGTCTTTTATCAAGTTATCATAAAATTTTCTATTGCTGTGGTCATGTAAAAGTGGTAGAAGCTTTTCTAGAGTGTCCAAAAATGTCACATGTTATGAACATGTGACTTTCTTAGACGAAACAGAGTGGATTTGTGATGTTTTTAGAAGAACAAGCTAAATTTAATATTTAATTATTATGGAACCTATGACATTTTTACGAGAAACACTTATTTGTATACGTATATATGGAGGTTAGGAAACAGTTGGTGCAAATATCTAAATTTCGACGATATTGGACTAATGATGTTTTTCCGAGAAACGCCTCAATTTTTGTGAGAACCAACATAATTTTTGAAGAAAAAGAACAACAAAAGTTGAAAGTTTAGTTTTTTTTATTTTTGGATAACTTATTTTAAATATGAATGTTCATGTTTTTCAATCGCAAGATCAGAATAAAAGCAAAGAAAAAGAGAATGAAGAGCCTAATATTGAAGAACCTGATTTGAAAAAAAGAATTGACAAAGAATTACATGCCAAAAAACAAAAAAATACATTTTTTATTCTATAATTTAACTTATTTATCCCTGATTGTAACACAGGAACGTGAATTAATCAACGTAAAAATTAGGATTTAAACGCGACAACACTGCGAGTTGTTGATAGTTGGTTTCTATGGTTCGAGTCGAAAGCGAAAAGCGTTACCATAGAAACCAACTATCAGTTTCGAGTCAAAAAGTTATGACAGTTGCAGTCACATTCATATAACAAATATGACAGAGCGCGTTCGAAAACTCGCAAGAGTGCACTCTGGATACACCCCAAGTTTACCTTGCGCGTTCGAATTCTCTGGAATATACCTAGAAATATGCAACTGTCAACTGTTCGAAAACAGCCCAGAGTGCACTCTCGTATGTCCAAGCTTTAGACTTGGTTAAGTTTTACCCGTCATGCGCATAGGGTACATCAAAGAAAAATTTGTATTTACATTCATATAATTTATTTATATCTGTTTAAAATTCAATAAAACAAAAACGAAAAACACTAAAATAAAATAATTTATTTAAAATAAATTATTTAAAAAATATCAATTCTAAAAAACAAAACAAAATCTATCACAAAAACTTGAATAAACCATATAACTGATGGGTTAAATTTCAATAATTTAATATTTATATGTATTCAGTCAAATAACAAGCAAAACCAATTGATTTTAGAACACTAAAGTTTATAGGTTCGAAAATAACAAGGTCAGGTATAATGTAAAGTCACTTGATTATACAGGGTGTCCGGGAAAAGGAGGTCAATCCGTTAACCATATATTCCTTGAGTTAAAACAATAAGACTTTCATAATACCATTTTTCAATTTAGAGCTTCATGTTCGATATACAGGGCGACAAAATTTGAAATTAAAAACTGATTTTTTTAATAATTCGAGTAATTGATAAGATACTAAGTTTAAATTCAGTACACTACTTCAACATAAATAGTTACATTTTTTGAGACCAACAAAACAAAAAACAATTGTCAAATAATCAAAATAGGGGGGTCCAGTACTCACTGACTCCCCATATTTTTTAGTACGTGCGCCAATGACTTCCAAACGGAATTTTTTCAGGTAATCATTTATTGTTGAAAATGTTTTGTCTCTTATAAAATTTTGATAAAATGATTTGTTTTAGAGATAATTTGTGGACCCCCCTATTTTGATTATTTGACAATTGTTTTTTGTTTTGTTGGTCTCAAAAAATGTAACTATTTATGTTAAAGTAGCGTACCGAATTTAAACTTAGTATCTTATCAATTACTCGAATTATTAAAAAAAATCAGTTTTAAATTTCAAACTTTGTCGCCCTGTATATCGAACATGAAGCTCTAAATTGAAAAATGGTATTATGAAAGTCTTATTGTTTTAACTCAAGGAATATATGGTTAACGGATTGACCTCCTTTTCCCGGACACCCTGTATATACCTATCCTTATACCCAGAGACTGTCTCTGCTTATACCATATCCAAAGTACACTCTCATTTCGAACGCACTCTTATATGCAGTGTTGTTTAAATTATTGTTGTTTAAATGAGTTGTGAAAACGAATTATTATGTTCTGTGAAACAAATACTAAAAGAAAACAACATAAAAACAATTATTAAGAAAAGGTATGGGAACCAAAAACAAAGCAACAGAAAACATGCAGTATGTAGAAGTCTCGGGAAGAGCTGAAAACAAAGATAGGAAAACTCATGATACAAGGAAACATGGTATGCTATTGCGCATGACGTCACGCTCGTCAAAGAAATCCACTTGTTCCAATGTAAGGGAGTCTAATGTAATTTTGGGGAGCCCGTTCGCGTTTTATTAAATTTACAATATAATTGTAACAATTATGACGGCCGATTTATTAAAATTGATTGCGAGAGAAAATTTTTTTGAGGTAGTATTTCTACTTGTCTGTATTTTTTCATTGTGCCAATGTATTTTTTAAACTATATGCAGCGCAAATAAAATAATTATCGTTTTTTGTTATGGTTATTATTTAAAAAATATAAGAAGTAAAAGTTATAAACACAGGGTGTTTTTGTTTAAAATTGACAACGTAATAGAGGTTGTAGAACAGTTTTTTCAAATAAATATTTTTATTTAGGCTTCTTAATTTAATTACAACAATTTTTGTGTTGAACATTTTCTTAATGTCGACTTAGCTGGCAATGGATAATTATTTGCCTTTAAATATCTGTAAGCTTTTGGGCTTACACTCCACAGTGAAATGGCTGAAGCAATATCTTCCGTGGACCAACGAACCCTCAAGTTTTTCTTTGGGTTTAACAACGTATTTATTTGCCCGGGTGTAAACACTTTTGCTAAAATAGTGTTATATTTTTGATGAGTGCTCAATTTAGTTTTTTCGATTTCCTTCAAAAGAACTTTGTTTTGTGATTCCAATATCTTTACTTTTTGTCTGAGCTTAAGTAATTCAGCCTGATCTCTCCTGGAAACAAAATAAGTCTGTTGCTTAAAACTCCACATAACAATAGGTACATCAAAATTTTGCAATGTGTAGTGCTTTACACTTACAATTCTTGTATGACACGTGTTGGAAGCTCTGACTCCTCAGTAATTGTTTCAGTGTTATGGGCTTCTAATATACAATTAGATTTTCGCTTTTGAGCAGTATCTAATGACCCTCCAGGTAATTTTAAATTAGGCCTCGGCCTTTAAATTACGAGCATTCTTGTGGGAGTAATTCAAAAACCTTTGTTTTAAAGGAATTTCAAAATACTTTTCATCAAAATGTATTGAGCAAATAGTTGCTGAAAAAAAGTTATTATTAACATGTGAACCTCATTTAATTAGAAAATGTGCATTCTTTCAATGTTCTTAAATAAGTAATATACAGGGTGTTTCAATGAAAACTTGTATCCCCCCAAACATTTGAAGAGGTGAATGTGGACAAAATTCCTTGGACACGTCAGTTTTTATTTCTAGGGTGGCTGTAGAAATGACAGGTGCCAAAATGACAGCTGTCAAAAAGACTGTCGTCGAAATGACAGCTGTCTGAATTTCCTGTCAAAATGACACACACAACACGGTGCTGTTCTGAGAGGTGATTTTCAGACTTTCTGTGAAACCTATTTTTTTTTATATTCCTGTTAATTAGGTCATAACTAAGAATTTAAGAGCAAAATAAAAAAAAACTGACGGTTTGAATTGTTTTAATTGGCTGTTTATTAAAAATATTATGCACTTTTTCAATTATCCAATTAAAATTAGCGATTTAATTTTTGCATAACTAAAAAAAAGGTTTTTACATTTTTTTTATATATTTTACTGTTTTGTTGCAATAAACGTTCAAAATTTTAATCTAACCTTTGACGTATACATTTATGTTCCCTTAATTAATATATCCTTAAAGGTTGCCATGAAACTTAGATCTATTAAAAATTTATTTGACGTTTGAATTGTCATTTTCAGTATACGTATTCTATAATTTTTGTTTAGTTTTTTAAAGTGTTTTTTATAAACAAAAATGAAAAATTGTAGTAAAAGTTACGAAGAAATTCATGAAAAAAATCGAAATTAACCGTCCAATTTTTTTTATTTTGCTCTTAAAATTTTAGTTATGACCTAATTAACAAGAATATAAAAAAAAATTAGGTTTCACAGAAAGTCCAAAAATCACCTAGAGGTGAGAGTGAGAGCTCAGAACAACACCGTGACAAACATACATAATTATAAAAACACAATACAAATAATAAATTTACACTTATAAATAATAATAATACTCTCTGCTCATAAAATAATAATTACATTAAATCTAATAATAATTACTAATTAAACACAAAAATTTCATTAATTTACGAATGTGACGTACATGCGCGTGGCGGACGAAATTTGGTTTCAATAGTAGCATATCATGTTTCCTTGTTTAAGGAGGTTCGTGCAGTACATTGCGGGTATTAGGGGAGTTGCTTTTTAAGGTACCAACTTGCGAAAGCAAAATTTACTTGTCATTTTATTGCATTTGATTTAAAAAACAGCCAATTTCCCAATTGATTTTATAATTATTTTGTATTTTAATACTAAAGGCACTATATGCATATATATTGTAACGCAGGAATGTGAATTAAAAAACGTAAAAAATAGGATTTAAACGCAGCAACACTGCGAGTTGACCAGAGTTGCCAGATTGCGTTATTTTTTGCAATTTTGGGGGAAAACTTGGAGAGAAGATTCCAAAGAATCTTATTCGTTTAATTACAATATGCTGTTATTCTGTTAAAGCAGAAGAAATAAGAAATTAAAATTTGTGACATTACTCTGGCATTTTTAGACATGATTGGTTTTTAGTTTTTCTAACATGAACATTTGTATAAAAACCAATCATGTCTGCAAGGCATTATCGGGCTGCTTGGGAAACAGAAGCACCATTTTATGGTATGTTGTTTTTCTTTATTATTTAAAGTGTAGTTTAAGTTTGTAATTTTCTTATATCAACTTGAATTTGTTTTCTTGAATCGTTTAAACACCTGAAATCTTTGCATTATGGTAATGTAAAATTATAAATGTTTAAAGTTATTAACAATAATCTTAAAGTGTTTTTCTTTCTCTTTTTAGGGTGGCTGATGTGTGCGGAAGAAAAACATACAAATTTTATCGACGGTAAAATAGCATGGATGTTTTGTATTGATTGAATAAATTTTGGGGAAAAAAATAATGTCATTTTGGGGAAAAATAAAATTTGATCTGGGGAAATTTCGAAATCGCCATCTAGCAACCCTGCTTTTGACAGTTGCAGTGACAAACAAACAAATATGATAGTTTTATACCTATGCAGTGTTATTTAAAATCTTAAAATGAGTTGTAAAAACGATTATTATGTTCTGTGAAACAAATAAAGTCCACTACAAAAAACAATTAATTAAAAAAAGGTATGAGAACCAAAAATAAAGCAAGCAAGGAAGAGCAGAAAACAAAGATAAGAAAACTATAAAAGGGAGGATTGTTCACAATCCACACAAGGTCTGTTCGATCTCGTAGTAAAAATACTAAAAATCACTGCAACACTGCACGTCATACAATGGCGGCAATTTTTGTTATTTACAATTCTTCTTCTTCTTCTTCTTAAATCTGAACACAGATAACTGTGTTCAGGGGTAATGGCCTTTAGCTTAATTTAAAAGCTATTTGGCCAGCTCATTATGTTTAAAAAAAGTTAATATAAACAAGGGTCTCAATCAAGAGAGTCTGAGTTAAACTCATCCCTTGAATCATTTATATAATATATTTATTTTATAATCACTTTATGTCTATTTTCTTTTATCACTTTTTACAATTCTTGTGCTTTGGGTTATAAAATAACCTTAAATTAACCTTCAAATTGACATTTGACAGCCCTGATAGAATACCCTATTAAAAATGCCCTATAGAACCCATATTGATCCAGATAAGGAAACTAATATGGATTTATATGGTTCTATATGTCCTATATGGAACGACCTGGTTTACACTTTGGAATCTATATGGTTTAATATGGAATTTCATTTTAAAATGTACAACTTAGGGATTTTTATATGGATTTATCTGGTTTCTGTTTTATGTGTCTTTCCATATAGGTTTCCCTATATGGTTGAATATGGAATTCCATTTTAAAATGTATATATATTTAAACGAAAATTGCATATTAAACCATATAGATTCCCCTATATGGTTAAATATGGATCTATATGGTAATAATTTTTTCACACCCAAACCATATTGGGCCAGATAGAGCAATATGAACCTATATGGCAATCCATATAGAAATCACTTTTCTATATGGTTTTCCAGGTATGGAATTCTATCTGGTTCAATAGTGCAATGCCTGTTTCAAATTCCTATATTGAACCAGATAGAACCATATAGATTTTTATTTTGTGTTTCTATATGGCATTTTTAATAGGGTAAGGTTTATTTTTTACAAAAGAGGAGTAAAATGATTGTTCTTACCACTTTGAGGTCTCTTTTAAGGCTTGCAAGTCTCTCTGTAAGAAACACAACGTTTAAAACGATTATTAATCTGTACAAAGTTTGTATTACACACCCAAAGCACAAGAATTGTAAGCAACAAAAATGGTCGCCATTATATCGCTGGTTTGGTGCAAGACTATCCTAAGTCCATTTTCAAAGAGTTGGAGAAAAACACTTTAAAACATTCCTATTTATTGTAACTAAATTGTTTTTTTGCGTCATTCTTTTAAAAATTGTAAGGTTTTACAAGAATGACGCAAAAAACAATTTAGTTACAATAGAAATGTTTATTGTATTTTTCTCCAATTCTTTGAAAATAGTCTTGCACAAAACCAGCGATATGATGTGCAGTGTTGCAGTGATTTTTAGTATTTTTAGTACGAGATCGAACAGACCTTGTTGTGTGGATTGTGGGATTGTTAAATATTATGGTAGTCAGTGACTACTAGTCACTAAATAAATCATAGATCAAATATCCCTAGATTATCACGTGTTCTTAATACAGTGTTGCCGGACGAAAATGATCGATTAATAAATTTGTTTGGACGGCCATTTTAAGCCCTCGAAACGCACGAATTAGGTATAAAACTGTTTTTATAAAATAAATAGTAGACAATTTATTATACAGGGTGTTTCATAATATATGCGCAGGACTTCAGGATGTGATAGCTCATCCAAAAAGATGAAAAAAGTCGCTATTAACTTACCCTCTAAAATGCACAATTTTCGAAATACAGGGGGTTGAAATTTTAGAAAAAAAATCGTTTTTTTCGATTATCTCTGGAACCGTTTGTCGTACAAAAAACAGCTATTGTAAGCATTTTCTACTCATAATAAGCTATGTTTTGTGCCAGAAAAATTTTTTTTTACCCATAATTGGTGGAGATTTTGAAGGGGTAGCGGGTGTTTTTCTCCTCAACTTCAACGCCCCTGAAAAAAGTACGGTTTTGAGAGGCTCATTCGAAGCGCCAATGTTTTCTACACAAAAAAGGTACTCCTGGTCATAAGCTCTAAAGTTGACCGTTTTCGAGAAAAATCAACTTTTATATTTAAAAACATGTTAAATTTTTTGAAAAATTTTTTTTATTACTAATTAAACAAAATTTATTTTAACGTTAGAAAAAGTAACAAAACCAAACGATAATTGCAAAATTAAAAAAAAAATAAAAAATTATTTTTTACACAAATGCTGAAATGTTCGAAATGCGTTACCTTTACGGTTTGGAGAATTTAGCAAAGACAACTTTTGAATCATTTTTTATTTTGCAATTATGGTTTGGTTTTGTTACTTGTTCTAACGTTAAAATAAATTTTGTTTAATTAGTAAAAAAAAATTATTTTTTTTTTAAATTGACCATGTTTTTAAACATAAAAGTTGATTTTTCTCTAAAACGGTCAACTTTAGAGCTTATGACCAAGAGTACCTTTTTTGTGTATAAAATATTAGCAGTTCGAATAGGCCTCTCAAAACCGTACATTTTTCAGGGGCGTAGAAGTTGAGGAGAAAAACACCCACTACCCCTTCAAAATCTCCACCAATTATGAGTAAAAAAAATGGCACAAAACATAGCTTATTTTGAGTAGAAAATGCTTACAAAAGCTGTTTTTTGTACGATAAACGGTTCCGGAGATATTAGAAAAAAACAATTTTTTTTCTAAAATTTCAACACCCTGTATCTCGAAAATTGTGCATTTTAGAGGGTAAGTTAATAGCGACTTTTTTCATCTTTTTGGATGAGCTATCACATCCTGAAGTCCTGCGCATATATTATGAAACACCCTGTATAATATTTTGGAGTCAAAACTGTCAAAAATATTCTTCTTTTATTAGGATATTTATTAAATTTAAAAAAACGGAAGAAATAGTTTATAAAAGCAGAGATAATTTTAATAATTGAAAGGTGTGGATGGGACAAAAAAAAAGATTTATCTTGTCTTGTCCAGACCTGTCAATTATTAAAATTATCTCTACTTTTATAAATATTTCTGTTTTTTTTTATTTATTATATAGCCTAATAAAAGAAGAATATATTTGACAATTTTGATGCAAAAATGATATAATAAATTACCTAAAAGTATGCTTGAAATGGCCGTGGACACAGTTTACTATTGGAAAACCGTGCGATGAATACGAAAACCGTATTGTTAATCTTTTACGGGAGGAAGGAAGGCAATCTATAAATCAGGCTTTATGTAAAAGGATAGCAAACAATTAAGACATTATACTAAAAAAATGAACAAAGTACCTAAGCTATTGTTACACTAGTAAATACTGATTATTAGGGATAGAACGATATCGATATTGATATTGGTATATCGGCAATTGTTTCCGATTATCGGTATCGTATCGTATCCGCAAGATAATTGCCGATATATCGGCAAAAAAAAATTGCGCTTTTCACTCTTCAGTGCATAAATGAAATACTTTCGTAGGGAAATGTGTATAGTTTTTAAGTAATACATTTTCGCCATTAACTGGAATTTAATGGATTTTAAACAATACTTAGTTTTTATTTGCAGAAATGCATTAAAACAAAGCAAACGAATTCGATAAAAATAAAACCTATAAATTCTCAATCCCTACCACAGGGTTTGGCACTTGTTTTATTTAAGTGTATCTATTCGTTTTAATACACACTGTATAAGGGGCTTCCCAGAAATCCGAAATGTCACTCACTACCAATCACAAACGTTTCCTCGCAACGGAATCAAAACGGGACTTCCCCGATTTTTGCTTCGGTCGTGTATAAATAGATGGCATTATGTTTGCCGATACGATATATCGGTATATCGGCACGTAAATATCGGTATCGGCCGATATATCGTATCGGCAAAAAAAAGTGATATCGTTCTATCCCTACTGATTATACATACTCAAATAAATATGATAGAAATAAGGGAGAAATAATTGAATTGGAAAAAAGTGATGTTAATTTTTTTGACGGACATTTTTGACAACGGGCGATGGTTGGAACTTTCTGACAAGTCAGAAAAAAAACACTTACCTTTTTTCGCTTTTGGGATAACTTCTTTATTCAGTATTTCTTTAGGACTGTTGGTCCTACAAAAACATTTAATTTTAAATTTACTCACTGAAAGAAATCTTCAAGAAATTCTTCATTTTAAATGTTTATTTGAGTTTGTTCTAAAGAAACATAAGTGTTTTTTGTAATATATATTTGATTAAAATTAGGGATGCACCGGAATTCCGGCGGTACCACTAAATCCGGCCGATCCGGCCAGTTGGCCGGAACTACCGTTCCGGCCGGATCGCTTTCCGGCCGGAATTTTCGGAACTTTTTGGAAATGTTTAAGTTTTAAATTTTTAATATAATTTAAATTCAAATATATGCAAAAATAAGGTTTTTTTTTAATTGGTGCCTACTTACCTATTGTTAAGTCGTTAATTAATCACAAATAATTTTTTTTTAACAAAATATATTTTCTTTCCAAATTAATAGTAATGAACACTCTGCATACTGTAGCTAGTTTAAAAAAAATAAAAATAAATCAGCCTCAATATTTTCAATGTTTTACGTATAAAAATAGGCAGGCACATACATTTTAAATTTAGGTCCCGATCCGGCCGGAATTCCGGCGATCCGGTCCGGCCAGCGGCCGAAATTCCGGTTCCGGCCGGATCGGCAAAATACCCGATCCGGTGCATCCCTAATTAAAATAACTGGCAAGCAAAAAAATTGTCCATTTGTAATTTTAATATAAAAATAGGAATTCAAGGTTAAAACTATAACTTGTTTCATGTTTTAACATGTCAACTGTCAAACAAGTGTTGCCATGATAATGACAATAAATGACAACAATGCTTACCCTTGGTCTAGAAACATTTCATCTCCAGCTTCGAATTTCATTTCAACTTGCTTGGATTCCTCAAAATTGTCTTTATCTATGTTCATGGAGTTGTCATTATCATCAAATTCTTCTTTTTTTATTGCTGACGTACTTGGTATATCATAATTTATCAAAATATTCCTTTCAGAATCATCGACTGGTTCTTTTTTAACCACTATTTTCTCCATTGTATTTTTTAATGATCACAGAAAAGTTGTATTAAGTCGGAGATACTTTGGCAAGCATTAAAAAACCTTTATAAACCCTCAAACTACGAAATAAACGTATATTTACTCACATGGACAGTATTTTCCACAGACCTGTGGTATTTTCACACCAAAAGTTTTGCTTTGCCTTTTTAGTTTGCAAAAAAATGGGCGGCAAGCGCCAATCCGTATTTTGTCAATTATTAGGCGAGAAGACAAAATTTTGCATGATGTGAATATTATTCTGAATTTAATATTCGAGCAAAACCCGTCTAAAAGCCTATTTAATATATAAACCATATAACAAATATGAAATAAACATTTGACAGAAAATCCTCTTAAAAATCCCTAGAAATATCACCAGATATTAAAAAAGACCTTGGAGTAGGAAGGAGAGTGGATCAAACCGTTGAAAATGTGACAGTTTTCTTTGAATCATGTATCAGTAGCGTATTTAATACTATTTTATGGAGAGAATCAACATTTTTGATGTTTGTTTTGTAATATAGAGGACGCGTCGCGATCGTCTTTAATTTACTTTTCACGAAAAAAACATAATAATTATTTGGTGGTGCTTCGATTTTCGGTCAAACTTCACTACACCAGGAGCGCGTTCGAAAACTCGCAAGAGTGCACTCTGGATACACTCCAAGTTTACCTTGCGCGTTCGAAATCTCTGGTATATACAGTAGAAACCGTCAATATATGAACGTGACTCATCGGGTGCCGAACATATCTCAGACATGCTAGCAGTAATGTTTTACTTGTCTTGTACATTCGATGCAGCGGTAAATGTACTCACACGTAGGTTTTTAAGCATCCGGTCTAAAATGCGCCATCTGTGATGTAAAACTGCCTAGGTGTTGGACAAAGATGGACATATGACGCTTGTGTCCTAGCTTGTTACTTAATTTTATTGGAAGTCAGTAGAGTTCGTGTTTTAGGAATTTATTTTATTTTATTACATAGTAAGGCAACCAACTTTACCGTCGGCCATTTGTTTTTATATGTCATATGATCTTTGTTTTTGCATATCTTGTTTCTACTGTGTGTTTACGGATTAATAATCGTTTTAAACGTTGTAGTGGCAGTGGTTTATATTATGTAACACAGGTAGATGTCGTATAAAAATCCTTACCTAGAAATTCTAGGCTAGAATACAAAAATATTTTTATTATACATATAAATTTTGTACTAGTATTAGTTTAATACATTCTGAAGAAGCTACTGTGTAGCGAAACAATTGTCAATATTTAATAAATTTCGTGAAACTAACGCAAGTTGTTTTTATATCCACACAATTTAAATATCTTTCACTTTGTACCTGACCTGCGTAAACATTTTTGTTTTTTGTCACCAATTCTGAAATATTTGCGTTTACAGTTAAAATAATAGTATATTCTGTAACAAGTTTGACGGTTTCACGAGAGGGGAATATGCAATTCCAAACCTGTTTCAGACTATACTAAGAAATTCTTAGTAAGAATTTAATTGGAAGAAAGTGAGGTTGGGTCGGTCTAAAAATTTGTTATTAAAATCAGAGATGTCGCCACGAGTGTACGTTCTGTAATCAGATGATAGAATATTTCATTAAAGTTAAAAGAAAAGTTTATTTATTAATTAGTTTCTAAGAAAATTACATTTTATTTAATTATCGTAGATGTTAATTATGTTAGATGTTAATTATTTAACTTTAAAAGCAAATATATCATAAGTATAGCAACCAACATTACACTCAAATTTTTTTACAAACGGGACTACACTGGACCGTGACCTTCGATAGATTGCTTCGTACGAATGTGTCGGATGAGTCACGTTCATATATTGGTGGTTTCTAGTTTACCTAGATATATGCAACTGTCAACTGTTCGAAAACAGCAAGTATATGCCCAGAGTGCACTCTCGGTTGTACAAGCTTTGGAGTGCGTTCCAAATAAGAGTGTACTTTGGATACGGTATAAGGATAGGTAGGGGAAAGGGGGGCACATTCAGCCTAGGGGCACATTCAACCACCCTTCCTAAATCTTTTCAGAATTTGAATTTAGCGCTGAAAAAAATTCCATTTACTCATCGTTACCCATAGCCACCGCCAGAGTAGTTTGGTTGCCGTCCTGTGATTTTTACGTGGAAAAATAAATTAAGTGCAGTTTTCCTAAATTAACGGTAAGTTTTTCGTTCTTATATTTTGTCAAACTGTGTTTAAATTTATAGTATTATTAAAACTAGATATTCGATTCTGTTGCTATGGTTATTAGGAGATTTATAATTTTAGACAGTTCTAACCTAGAAATAATATTTTTAAAAGTGGCAGGAGGTTTTTCCGATCATGTGGGCATGGGGCAGAATCAACCAACTGGGGGTGGGGTACTTTCAACCACTGGTTTAATGTGCCCCAGTCAGTGGTTGAATGTGCCCCTTACTACAGAAAATGATAATAAACCTTAAACTGTACCTATATAGATGAAAACTTTATTTCAGATGGTGCGGAATTATAAAAAAAGACAAACAGGACTGAAATAAGTGAAAACGACATGAGAAATGCGATTAAGGAGGTGTTGAGTAACAGAATGTCTGAAAGGGTAGCTAGTAGAAATTTTAATGTGAAAAGGGGTACACTACATTCTAGAATTTGCAAGTTAAAGAAAAAATACCCACCAGAACGATTGACAACTCTGTATAATAATGACTCCGGCAACGAAAGTGATTATGATGGAAACCAGAATCTTTATAGCAGCAAATACTCTCAGGTGTTTACAAAAGATCAGGAAATTGAGTTGGTGAAATACATTCAGACATGTTCAGATATGAATTATGGGTTAACTTACAGACAAATTAGAATTTTGGGTTATGATTACGCATCTGCTTTGCCAGAATGCAAGATTCCTGCCCAATGGAGGGTGAATAGGGCAGCTGGAATTGAATGGCTCAAATGCTTTATGAATAGAAACAAACAGAAAATTTCTTTAAGAAAGCCAGAGAGTACAAGTTTGGCCCGGGCCACTGGTTTTAACAAAAGAAACGTATCAGATTTTTTTGAAAATTACTCCATTGTATTAACTCAACACAAGTTTAATCCTGAACAGATCTACAACATAGACGAAACAGGGGTTACAACGGTCTTAAAACCTGTCAAAATTGTTTCAACTAAGGGAAAAAAACAGGTTAGTCAGACTGCCTCTGCCGAAAGAGGTGAATTGACAACATTTGTAGGTATAATAAATGCAGTGGGCATCGCGTTACCTCCAGTGTATGTTTTTCCCAGAACACGTAATCCAGATGACTATTTGATTGATGCTCCTACGTCCAGCACAGCCTTGGGTAATAAGTCTGGATGGATGACGGGTGATTTGTTCCTACGTGTTTTGGAACATGTTAAAAAGCACACAAACTGTTCAGTTCAAAATAAAATACTAGTGTTGCTGGACAATCACGAATCACATACAACTGTGAAAGCAATAAACTTTTGCCGTCAAAATGGGATAATCATGCTCTCATTTCCTCCACACACTTCACACAAGCTTCAACCGCTAGACGTGGGAGTGTATGGACCATTCAAATCCTATTGCTCAGTTGCCTTTAATGACTGGATGACTTCCAACCCCGGGAAAACTATAACCATAAGACAAATTGCCCATCTCACAAAAATAGCTTTTCAGAATGCTTTTACTCAAAAAAATATAACAAGGTCATTTGAAAAACCTGGGCTATGGCCTTTAAACCGATTTGCTTTCCGCGAAGATGAGTTTCTCCCAAGTTTTGCAAATTACATTGACGAAGAAAATGTACCCCCGCATAGAACGGCCGATGAATCGTTTACATTAGAAGTCGAAGAACCTGTATCGGGAAATGTAGAACCATCGTTGACATCAGACTCCGAAGAACCTGCACCAGCACTAGGGAATGCACAACCAGGGTGTACGTTTGCCTTTAAAAGTTATGAATACTAATATAATTTAAAAATTCTTGCAGGTGCCCCATCAACATCCAGAACAGCCGTGGCTCAAAAGACAGCTCCTTTAATATCATCTATTTCACCGCCGTCCACACCTCCAAAAATTATTTCATCTATCTACGGAAATAAACACGGTATACCTATAATAGGACATAAATAAAAGGTAGCATAATAAACTCAATTGATTTTTTTTATTATTTTAGATAAACTTTCTACCTCTAGCAACATTGTCACCCCAGAAATTGTCAGGCCGTTTCCCAGAGCAACTGTAAAGAGGACCATGAAGAAGAATGTTAGAAAAGGAAAGTCTAGAATTTTTACTAATACGCCAGAAAAAAATCGTCTGGAAGAAATGGAAAGTGCAAGAGAAAAGCGTAAACAAATTCAGTGTGAAAGAAACCAAAAAAGAATCCTGAAGCAAGTATTTCCAGAAAATAAAAAGGGAAAATATATAAGAAGAATGAGCACAAGTAGTTCGAATACTGACGAGTCTATTGTTCTAGAATCAGATGAAATTTCCGATGATTTTAGCGATGTAGAAAACGTACATCTTATAACAGACGATGACGAAATACGACAAAATGACTTTGTTTTAGTGAAGTTTCCCCTAAAAATTGCTGTATATTATTACATAGGAAAAGTCACAAACATTATAAACCTCAAAGAATTTCAAATTAAATTATTACGTCGCAAGACACCAGGTTACACATTCTATTACCCCCTAGTCGATGACACATCTCTAGTTGACCGCTCTGATCTCATTTTAAAATTACCAGAACCCAATTCAGCTAAAACTGCCAGAACTTCTTCACTGCTAACGTTCAACATAAACTTATCTTCATATAATGTTAAGTAATAAGACATTTGCATTGCAATTTTATCTTATGTTCTCCGTGTAAACCAAAGAATGTATTTTTAGTTACCAAATATAGTGATTGAGCAAAAATGTACATAGTTTTTTTGTATTTAGGTCTTGGTTGAAAGTGCCTCAATTACTGGTTGAAGGTACCTCACCGGGGGGGCACTATCGACCATTTGCAGATATTTTTTAAAATGCAAATTTTCTAAATAAAAAATAAATTTAGAAGCATACTTTTCTTGGCAATAGTAACCAAAGAGTATATGCTTCATTAGCACAAGCCAACAAAGAACAAGTTTAATAAACAACATTTTTACATTCCTTCTTTAGAGAATTGGTTGAATGTGCCCCCCTTTCCCCTATATAATCACGTGACTTTACATTATATCTGACCTCCTTATTTTCGAACTCCGCGGAGCATATACCGAGTGGCAATTTGACTCGCAAGCTAAGCAAATGTGCATCTTTCACAATGAAATTCGACGTTAAAGTTGTCAACTTCAAGTTGAAGTGGGCAAAATTTCTTGCAAGCTGCAAA